GATAGAATAGGTTTTGCCCATAATTAGATGCATTCGTTTTTTCTGGTAAACGCTCGAGAAAACGTTAGGCACATATTATAAGGTAGTTTCATTTCAAGCTTAATCAAAATGGTCGGTCAAATATGAAGGGAAAGATAGTACGTTGTTTTGGAAAATCAAATCTACGAAAACAGTTCGTGAGCAATCTGTTGAAGTGGTCGGCATTGCAAAGTTCCGTCATCAACGCCCTATTCCCCAGGGATTCCCCAGGGATTCACCATGGATTCCCCACGGCCCCATTTCCCGGCTGGGGAACTGGACACGATGACTGCAAAATACGGATCGCCGAGGGAACCAATCATAACCCTTCTTTTAATCGTAGGCTAATTTACCAAACAAGATCATACAATAAAACCAAGTTTTGTGCGATATGATATGACCGCTGAGCTTGTACAAAGTTAAACGACGCCTTCAAGACAAATTCATTGTCAATGAACAATGGAGCTTTTAAGAACATTTCGTTTCAATACTAAATAAAATAAACAAAACTAAATAACTTTAATAAATTGCCCAAATGGCACGCGCGTGGCTTAAGCATGCGCACTCATATGAACGCTGTGGATTGAAAATCCCAACTGGTATGATGCTGACCAGTTGGCTATTTACACACCGCGGTCGAGGAGTTGAACTTGGGACTACCGAGGACAAATCCAGATAGCGGTAGAGTGGACGATTTGAACCAGGGACCTCTAGATTTCAAATTCGGCGCCCTAAACCACTCAGCCACGCCACCTACACTCAAATTATTTCGAACTAATGATTATTTGTTTCGAAGCTGCAGACTCTACCTCGCTCAGTCTCAGTTTTTGCTTAGCATCTTCTTCCGTCACCTGATTAGAATTATGCTCAAACATCACCTCGCTTCCACTTCCGATCTACAAAGAATGAGATAATACAAAATTCTGATGAGTACTGGATATCCACAGTCGTTAAGACAAGTGAAACAATTGTCAACAGACGTCGACAGAGGTTGAGCTAAACTCTCTCTCATCAGTATCTGATTAAGACTACAGACACATGTACTACGATTATCAGTAGAATAAGGCGCGACGAAAGTTTGGCGACCAGGTTTTTAACATTCAATACTTGTGTTGTTGTCACTGAGGCAACTGGCTCCCTTTCCAGTGGCAGCTTGTCAGCCTTTGACGTCATTAGCGGCAAAACGCGCGAAATTGCAGGCGACGATGTTGTTACTGTTGGAACGGAGAGAAGTTGCCCGTAGCAACACCGTAATTATAAGTCCAAAACTTCGTCACCAAAGCTTCGTCGCGCCTTACTCAACTGATAATCGAAGTAAATACAGCAAAAACTAAAGGGTGGCAAATGGTAAATGCGAGACTAGTGTTTTTCTTTGCAAGCCCAAAACATTTTGACTTCTTC